TTTTCAATAGATTTTCTTATGCAGTTCCATCATCCCATGTTCATTGAGATGACCCAAACCAATATGCCAAGGTTTTGTAGCATGATTATCAAACATAACTAATGCGACATCACCTACAACAATGTTTTCCAACAGTTTGTAAATATTACTTGTAGTCCTCCTTTCTCATATTACAAGCAAGTCACCCATACTAACTTTCATAATTTCGCTATCTCCATTAGACCTATACGAGAAACTATTTTACTATAAGTACATAGGGAAATCAAGTTCTTCCTTAATTCTAGAATATGTTTGACATGAATTAATTTTTGCACACCAACACCGTCCATTAAAATTTTAATTTGTTTTGTTCCAGTGTTAGTATATGCTTTATCCTCAACCAGATAAAAAATACAAAATCATCCTTGACCTGAATGTAGTGAACCATTCTTAGTGCGACGTCATATGGTAACAACAACCAGAGTAAAAAGAACCATGCAATTGAGCACTTGCTTAACAAAACACATGACATACCAACTCTGCTGCCATAATCTTCTATTTGAACAAAAATTGCAGAATCAGATGTGACGTGCTTTCTGTTTGAACAATCCATCTTCCATTGCTCAATTTGTTTCCATCTAATTATTTGATTTAGACAACTTCTTTCCAGAACCAACTTTACCCTTGTTCTACCCATGATCTTGACCCCATTCACATACAGAATGTTGTCTTGAATTCATTCTTCTACACTTTGTCTCCTTTAAGAATAAGATAAAAGTGTAACAATAATCACATCAAAATTGGTAGTGTATTTCTTGTAGATAAGAGATAGACACAAAATGGTCATAAGAACTTGGTAACGAGCACACCTAGATAATTTTCTTATCTTAGTCATCAATCTTCATCCCATGCTTCACTATATCAATGATTATGTTGTTGAAGATATTGACATGTTGTTGCAAATCAAATCATTCATCCATCTTTAGAATGTATAGTCGTTGCTTCATAAAAAAATTGTTCATCAACATCTTTGACATATATTGACTCTCCAAATTGTCCCAAACCTCTTTCGATGTCATTAGGTCCAAGATTGACACATCACCTCATTTGAAACACATATATGAATCAATCTCACAACTTTCTCCTTCATCTGTCTCCAATCAGTGTCCTCCATGTTGGTTGGTTTTCTCTCACGCATCGGCTTCTGTAAACATTGTCGATCCAAAAAGTCATTAACCCTCCATTTCCATAACCCAAAATTAATTGTCCCGTTGAACCTTTCTCGAATTTTGCACCAAGGTTAATTGCCATCTGATGCCAATTGTTAGAACATTAGTCAATATAAAAGATTAAAGAAAAAAAAGTAATGATAATGAACACAATCAATCTTTGCTAATGCAGTTCAATCAATGACGTATTTCTTTGCAACTTTAAAGCATCTCTAGTTTCATTTTAATTATAAGTTCTATGGTTTTTGGGTCGACATAAACTTTGTTAAAACAGTTTTCAACAAAATGTTGAGACAAATGTCGTGACAAGTTAGTCAGACGGCATGATCAATATGATGTTGGGACATCTGGCCAGGGAATGTTATACCAGAAGTTTAGGGCTGGGATGATTTGGAATTTGAAGTGTGAGATTTGATAGTGTTTTAATTCACACAGTGTCGCAATCCTAGGAGGGAAACTTTAGGAACTTTTGTCTTGAAATATTTGCTTGTATTTCATAAAAAGGATCTTGAAGCCTTTTTAGGAAACTTTCTATTCAGTTCCTATTTATGTGCAGAAGATCTTGCAGAAGATTTGAAGCTGATGATTTGTGATTTTCATTTTATTTAAATTGAAGAGCTCAAGCCGATGTTGATCTGAAGGCTATTTAAAGAGGAGTTCTAAACCTAATGAAGTAGATAAGCTGTGTATTGAAAGAAATATTTTTAGGGGTTTGAGAATTTTGTTATTTGTAATCCTCTCTTATGTCTTTTGACATTTGAGTTGGACTATGTTGTTTGTGCATTTGTGAGCCATTCATGTACTCCTTAGGTACTTGAATTAGAATGAGTATTGAGTTGTAATTGTGAATTCACTCATAAGTTTTTAAGCAAATAGTGGATTTTGTGTCTTTGAAGTGTGACTTATTTTTGTTCTCTATTGTTGAGTTTCTCGCTGTTGTGTGACTGGTAGGAAGTGAGAGGGGTGTCATATCTAGGAGTTCCTAGGTAGAAGTTAACACGGGTAGTGATTAGGTGAGAAGCTTGTAAACACGTGGGTGTTTGCTGTGGTTTTGAACTAATATTATTATAGTGGATTTCCTTCCAGACTTGGATGCCCCCAGATGTAGGTGATGTTACACCGAACTGGGCTAACAATTGATTGTGTTATTATTTACATTTAACCTTTTATTTTCTTCGCATAAGTGTTAGTTGCTGTCTTGATTCCAGTGTCCTGATATCTGTCTTGACATCTGGTATCTGTGTCAAAATTTCATTAATTATGTGAAAAATTAATGTTATAATGTCACAAGAAATATATAATACTACAACTCAATTTACAACAATAATCTTGAATCATAATTACTATTGTGCCACACACCCCCAATCACCTCCCCATAACAAAAAAATTGGGGTAAGATACGGTTGGGCCTAACTCAAGGAAAAATACTCTCTACCCCCATGTAGCACCCTGAAACCCCGAATCTTTATTTATAAAATAACTACATAAATCTCACAATTAGGATATTACATTCTACACCAAAATGCTTTAGTCAACAAAATATCAAATTTATTGATACATCAGAATAAAAACACCATTTAACATAACAAGTCTCATTACTAAAAGACAATGGAGTAATTCAAAACATCTCAGAGGAAACACAAGATTTAAAAAAGTAACCCGTCCCAATGTTACATATCAGAGCTTTAACAAAAACTAAAGGACTCGAGAAAAAAAATAGTAAAAGAATGAAGACGCCTCAACGCCATCCTCCAGCTTAAAAGCAACTACTTCTTTCCCTGATTAATTGTACTCCAAAGGAGTACAAAATACCACAGCAAAGCAAACAGGGGCGGGAATACGCTCAAAATATATTAACGGTGGAAAAGTAACAAAGGACAGTACCCATAAAACATCAACACGTCATGTCATTTACAACTCTCACCAATCAGCAACAATATTTATAAAACAATCACAACCATCACCAATTCATAAGTACAGATGTACATGCAATGTACTCATCTCCTCATCACCAAAAGCATGTGGTACCAACCTAATCACCAATTGGATGTCAGAGTTATATTATTCAATAATCTCATCACCAATATTTGGACATCAGAGTTATATTACTGATTTAGTCTCATCACCAATCCCTATCTTTATATACATGATACATGGAAATGACACAATAATGTAATATGAAAATCATCACCAATAGTTCTTATTTGAACCTCATTATTCACCATAATACAACACCAAATGACAACATTACTACTATACATATAAAACATATTGATATGCAAAAATACATCACTGACAACTAATTCCACCAAGAAACCCCACCCCAAATCACAAAATAGTAGTAAACAGTAGTAAATAGTCACTGCATCAGAAACGACTAAAAAATTCAAGTCAACCGACTAGAACCGGTCAACTGCAGCGACTGGCGGCTAACTCGTCACCTGGTTGACATTAATCACCCTTTCCCTATCACAAAATCGTCATTTTGGTGACGCTTGGGCCAAAAGCTTGTCTCCGGGACCATGACGGTTTTCTTGTCACCATGCTGACGTCCGTCAGCTCTACCAGTGGCATGAAGGTGAGCCCGTCACGCCAATGACTATCATTAGTGTGTAGATTGCAACTGATTTCAGCCCAAAAATACGCAATTCAAACATAAATACATCACCCATATTACATTAAACAAAAAACTCATCAAAACAACATCAGTTACATATCGACACCAATTTATCATGCAATTTCATTATCATGTTCATCACACCAATTCATACTAACATGAACAACATTCTGATTCTTATCATCATATATATATAATCTCCAGTATAAAATATAACACAAATTTCACATATTTCACAACAATCATAACACAACTTACACAATGGAGAGTGAGAATTTCTCTCCACCGTTCAAGCAATTGACATCAATATTAGTGTAGTTCCCTCTAACCTTAATTTCCACATCAATTCAAAATTTTAGTTATTGATTCTCCTTCCTATATCTCTTTTTAGGGTTTACTTATCTTTTTTTCACTTTTTCAATCTTTTCACGTATTTGACCAAAACTCTCTACTCTTCTTACTTAACTATTTATTTAATCTAATAATTACAATTATTTAATTCAAAATTCTCCCTCAATTATTGGTAACTCATCCCTTAATCCACAAATTTCAAAAAAATACTATTTTTCACCCCATATCTCAATACTTCATATCTTACTCAATTTTCTATTACTTTTAATTAGTGAAAAATAGTGATAATTCCTATAAATTATACCCAAACTCATACAACTCCACAAAAATACACACAACAACCCAATAAATTATTTAAGTACATAATTAACTTAATAAAATTAATTAATTTAAAGACTAGGGTGTTACACCCCTGCCTCTATTCAATATGTATATAGAGGCACTTAAATAAACACTAAATATTTTCCCTAAAGAGAACACGCTACTATCAAGTTAGAAGTATACTTGAATTTGTTTGGTATGAATTTTGGTTTTATCCTCCTATATTTTTGTTTAGTAAAATAGTAATTATTTTATTGCTTAAAAATATCACAAAAGTAATTAATTTATTAAAAAGTACTATAATTTTTGTAAAAACAAATCAAACACATTTATTATTGATCCTTTATTATATTATATTTTACAGACCGATATTTTTTACACTATATTTTTACAAATAGTCATTTGTAACTGCACTATTCAAATTTCTATTTAAAATGTTCCTCCATCGTCACATTCTTTATACCACCTTTTTTGCCAGATGCAAATCCAAAAATTACTATTGTCTAAGTTTTTTTTGATAACCCTCCTTCACCCATAACCTTATCATGTGCAGTGTCTCCTTCTTCCATAAATTTATAGTTATCATACTCATCAAAAAGATTTCCAAAATCAATAAATCTAAAATTGGTATCAATGTCAGCAAAATCATTTTCAACTTCCATCGATCCAAAGTTGTTATCGTTATTAGTCAAACTATTTCCAACTTCTGTTAACCCAAAGTTGCTACTGTTGCCAACAAAAGCATTTTCTCCAGCATCAATAAAAGGCCTTTTATTGGAAAATCTTGACGAAAAAATGAACTCAACTTTCTTATTCATTTCTTCAACAAATTTTGGATTTTGAAGAACCATTTCAAAAGAGTTCTTTAAATTATTATGTCTATGCTCTGATGCTTCTAATCTTTGCACCAGATTGTCCACGTGAAGCTTTTTAGCTGGCATGTTCAGCTCAAAGTTAGAAATATCTAATTCAATTGCGGCTTTTTCATTAGAAAGTTTTTTAATTTCTTCTTCAAATTCAAACCTTTCTACTTCTCCACGAGAGTGACTGTGAACAGGTTTTTTGCGGTGAATATTATCAAGAAGATGATATTGATCTTTCAGAAAATATTCATTAGCAAACTCCCATTGATCTTGTTTGATTTTGTGAAATCCCTGACATTGAAACACATAATAATGAGCCAAAAAAATTAAACATCAAATATGTACAGTGCAAAAACCATCTTAATCGATGTAGCCTAAATAAAAAACTTAGACACAGAAGAGATTCCATATTAAAAGCATGAACCACAGTTTAAAAATGATAAATAAAATGGTTAAAAAAATCTATGAGAAAAATAACAAAAAATAATTGAGGTTTAGGGATAATAAATCGAAGACTAAAAAAATATATTACATACATAAGAGTTGAGCTGCCGAATAAAACTGGAGAAATTGTTGTGTGTGAAATACTTTTTAAGAAGATTGCTGGAGAATTCGTCACTGTCCTTAATGATAAAACTGTTGTTTCTTTGACTCCATGATACTATATTATCAGTACATGGATCATCAACCATTTGGTATATTTTCACTAAGAACTTTTTCGGACCACCACTACCACCACCACCGGATTCTTTCGTCGAATTCTCCATATTTAATTTTTTTTTTGTGACAAATGAACCAAAGAGCATTCTCTTATATACTAATAATCAAGTCCCAATACATTTAACTACTACAACATTTTTCACAAAAGTATATGCATAACGCTTAGGCCTTGAATTCAACAAGCTTGTTAGACAAACATGTCCCTCGTTTTAATTTTGATCTTCTTTTTTTTCAATAAAAAATATTGTTAAAGTTTTTTTTCTTCTTTTTTTAAATAAAGATAAATTTGTTTACAAGTTACTTTTTCTTTTGTTTGACCAAAATTAAATTTTAATTATTATCCTTTAAAAAAATATTTTAAAAACACTATTATATTAATCAGTCAATAATATATACAAACAAGATTAATTGAATAACATCAAAATTAATATTTTATATATATATATATATATATATATATATATATATATATATATATATATATATATATATATATATATATATATATATATATATATATATATATATATATATATATATATATATATATATATATATATATATTGTATTAAAAATAATAATAACATATATTATTTCAATAAAATTTAACATTATGTTGAAATTATTAGATATATCAAAATCTCCTTCTTATAAGTATTTATTAATTGAGTTAATTTTAATATATCAAGTATCGAATTAACATAATAAATAATTTTTGTTTACAATAATATATTATTTAAAAATATATAGAAATTTAAAGATTGAATCTTGAAACCATTAATCCAAGAACATTTGGATTAGATGGTAAAGGTCTTTTTTTCAGCTTAATCTTTTGAAAGAAAATTTTACCTCTAATAATGTAGTTAAACAGAGAGTCTAATTGGTTTATAGAAAAAACAACTTGACACATATAGCTATACTAATACATACAAGTTGAGGTACCTCACCCTTCCATAATAAATAATTTTGGATTAATATTAAAGAATTATCAAACAGTAAATTTTGGATTATATATATATATATATATATATATATATATATATATATATATATATATATATATATATATATATATATATATATATATATATATATATATATATATATATATATATATATATATATATATATATATATATATATATATATATATATATATATATATATATATATATATATATATATATATATATATATATATAGCATATTAAATGAGAGTGATTTTAAATGAGAGATGAGAATAACAAACAACAACCATTAGATCAAATTATATATATATATATATATATATATATATATATATATATATATATATATATATATATATATATATATATATATATATATATATATATATATATATATATATATATATATATATATATATATATATATATATATATATATATATATATATATATATATATATATATATTTCTTTATTATTTATTATTTTAAATTTAAATTTATTAGTTATAATAATTTTTAGGTAGAATTAATTAAGTTTTAATTTAATTTTAACACTTAATTAGTTCATTTGTGATTTTAAAAGTATTTTGAGAGATAAGTTGGATATGTTCGACTATCATTTTTGCTAAAATTTTTTTTGATGAATTAGGTTCTATATCTCCTTATCTTTTTAGTTTTTTCTTTTTTTTTTTCAATAAATTGTGTTTATTAAGAAAATAAAATTTTAACAAAAATTGTTTTAGTCAATATTTATTTCCAAAATTTTATATAAATTTTTATATTGTTTTTATAATGCACAAGTACCACTAACATAAAATAATTAATTAAAAAAAATACATTTTGAGGTAGAAAAATAATATTAATTAAAAATAATTCCAAAATATTGAAAAATAACATAAATTTTTATTCATACATTCACCTTTATATTAATACTTTTCATTACTATACCATTTCAAACATATCATTAATGTCTCCCATACATATCTTTTTTATTTTGCTATTTGTCAACTCATTTAAATAAACATTTATAAGAAAAGGTAAAATACCTGAATTTGAATTTAGATTTTTCATAAAAGGCCTATACAACAAAACCGGTTGGATGTTACAATTAAATGATAGATATTTATTTTGATTCTATCCACCTAATATTTCCTTATTATTTAAAAATAATTTTTACATAAATTCTTTCAATAAATTTAATTATTTAACTTTAACTTTGAATTTTGAAAATCAATTCAATTTTGTATGCATACATTAACAATTTTATTAATATGACTCATAGTTCATCTAAATTGGTAATAAATATTATATGTAACACAAACTTTCACTTTATATATATGTCTAACCATAGCAAAATCGGAACAATACATTAGTAATTTAATTAATTGTAATACTTTCATATTCCTTTTCCCATCAAAAAATTGTAATATAATTTTTTCATAAGTCTCATTGAAGGAAATATAAGAGGATTTGAGGGATTAGACCAATATCCCATTCCATCCAATTCCCCATTGAAAATATGAGTAAATATACAATAAATGTGATTTACTACAGAATTTCAAGAAAAGATGAGTAAACGAATTTTCATCCTTGTTGCAAAGGCTACACATTGATAGCGTGAAGCAATCTCTAATCTTTAGATTTTCATTTAAAGGAATTTTCTTCTGTATCAACTTCCAAACCGTTGTTGAACAAGAAGAAGGAATGCTCTATTCCATGTAATTTTAATCCAATGTTTCGCAATTGTGGTTGGAGAACACAAATTGTATGCATATTTTAGAGAAAGCATGCATGAGGTGATATGTTTCTATATAAGCCTATCTTCCAAATTGCTTCATTAATTTTATCAATTGATCTCAAGCCAATCCCTTCTTCAGCAATAGGGGTAAACCTAGTTTTCTAGGCCACGGTAACAAGTTTTCTGTTGTACATGTCATAAAACATATGAATTGTTTAAGCATTTTGTCTAGGTTCTTAACAAGGCTGACAAGTCAAGAATAAATAGTGATAGAATAAATAATCATACTATGGATAATGCTTAAGACTAGCTCCACTTTCCAGCAAAAGTGAGAAGATTAGGTTAAAGTAGGAGGCTTTAAGCCTACTTTTAAAAATGAATACACCCAAGTAAACAAAAGGGAGTGTACCAAGGTTGAAACTAATGGATGAAGCAATCAGACTGAGTCTTTAGTGAGTGATGAACCCACCATGGAATCTTGACTTTATATAATTGACATATTCACCTGAACTATAGCATACATGGCAATGAAATCAGAAAATAACATATAACCTATGGGGTTGAGAAAATATAAAAACAAGAAAATTGACTCGAGGGTTGAAAACATAGGGGTTGAGAAAATATAAAGACAATAACATCGATTTCGGGATCAAGAACCTATCAACTCGGGAGTTAAGAAATACAAAGACAACAATATCGAATGGGGGCGAGAACATATCAACTTACGAATTGAAAAAAATATAAAGACAACAACATCGACTCGGGGATCAAGAACATATAAACTCAGGGGTCAAGAAAATATATAGACAACAACATCGATTCAGGGGTCGAGAGCATATCAATTCGGGGATTGAGAAAATACAAAAACAACAACATCTACTCGAGGGTTGAGAAAATACAAAAACAACAACATCTATTTGGGGATCGAGAACATATCAACTTTGGGGTTAAGAAAATATAAAGACAAAAACAAAAACTTAGGGGTCAAGAACATATCAGCTCGGGTTGGAGAAAATAAAAGAAAACAAAATCGACTAGGGGGTCGATAACATATCAACTTAGGGGTTGAGGAAATAAAAATACAATAACATCAACTTGGGGGTCAAGAACATATCAACTTGGGGGTTGAAAAAATATAAATATAACAACATTGACTCAAGGTGGTGAGCATATCAACTCGAGGGTTAAGAAAACATTAAAACAACAGCAGCGACTCGAGAATAAGAACATATCATATAGGGTTTGAGAAAATATAAAGACAGCAACATCAACTTGGCTATGGAGAACATATTCATTCGGTGGTTGAGAAAATATAACGACAATAACATCGACTCGGGGATTGAGAACATATACACTCAAGGGTTGAGAAAATATAAAGATAACAACATCGATTTGGTGATCGAGAACAAATCACTCGGGGATTGAGAAAATATAAAAATAACAACATCGATCGGGGGTTGAGAACATATTAACTTGGGGGTTTAAAAAATATAGAGGAAACCATAATAGCTTAAGGGTAAAGAATATAACTTGGGTTTAAGAAAATATAAAGAAAACAACACCGAGTAGGGCTCGAGAACATATCAACTTAAGGGTTGAGAAAATATATAGACAACAACATCGACTTGAGGGTAAAAAACATATAATCATTTTTAGAAGACAACGACTTATCTAGAGGGGGGATGAATAGACACCCAAGCCAAAATCACCAAATAAAATTTGGGTTTTTAAATTATTTAAAAAAGAGTGCGTGCAGAAGATTTTGGTATGGATCGATAAATGTTGTCTATACGAACCTTGTTATTGGAACTCGGATATGCGAAGCCAATTATGGAATGACAAAAACAATAATAGAACTTAACCTTTAATCGAGTATCACATTATTAGTCGTTTAAACTAATTAACCTAGTAATTATATTTCCAATGATAATGAACATAAATATTGAAATACACAATTTATCAAACACTTGGTGTGCAAACAAATTTTTAGAATTTCCTTTGTGTTGTTGTTGATATGAAAACCATTTATAATGAAAAGTGATTATAAGTCAATCAACAGTCAAATTAAAACAAAAAGATCACAGGAAAATTCTTACGAGTCGATCGATTAATCAATCCTATTTAAAAAATTTGCATAATGAAAAATAAAGCAAGTAAAGATATAATAGAGGGATCGAAACGAGGATTTGTTTACGCAGTTCCCCACTTTCCTCCTCGCGTGTGGGTACGTTTGCGCCTAATTTCTAATGTGGAATTAGGATACTTTCTTACTATGCAAAAAGTCGATGTACAAGAAAAATGTTCAATAACAACCATACAAACACTACCGGTTCTAATGTT